TGAGCTGTACTAAAGTAATTTATTCATTATAGTTAAATTCCATTTCGTATTTTACATTTCCTGCGATTAAATTGAACATTCTGGAACTTTGCGTTTAAATAATTTCTTTAATCGAATTAAATTAATTAAAAATATCTGGAGGTATTATTTCTAAAACAATGATGTAAATTAACTTAAAAAATTAACCCTCGAGCTGTGCACGATTAAAGTAATTTATTCGTTACAGTTCAATTCTATTTCTTGCCATTCAATTGAACTGAATTGAACATTCTAGAACTTTACGTTTGATAATTTCTTCAATCGGATTAAATTAAATTGAAAAATTCTGGAAGTAAATTCGATGAGTAAAATCTTCAATTGCTATCGTTTTCAGTATCCAATGATAGCAGTTGAGAGTTGGTACATCTTACAATTGTTTAGATTGTAACACTTGTAACACTTAACAACCATAAACATTCATCCTGTAATTCCTTCGACTGCTACTAACAATAAGTATTGAATAATCGATTTGCTACTTAAAAAAGAATTCAAAATAACAAGATTAACGAGGAAGTATTATTAGTCAAGAGAAATATAATTACGAAGAAAATAATTAAGAAGAATTGTTTATAAATCTCACTTTAACTAGAATCGACTAAAGTTAATTAAATTAATTTGAAACAATTAAATTAATTTGAATTTCTACGCAAATTAACTTTGTAAATTATAAATAACATTATCATAAAAGCAAGACTAAAAATTAAATTACTATTATATATTATTAAAATTTAAATTGAAATTAAACTTTACCATTAGAATTTCTACGCAAATTAACTTTGTAAATTATAGATAACAAAAAAAACAGAAAAGCAAGACTAAAAATTATATTACTATTATATATTATTAAAATTGAAATTGAAATTAAACTTTACTATTAAATAAATTTTAAATTTACTGGTACTTAAACACAGTTAAATTATTATTAAATAGCATTTGTACAAGTATTTCTACAAATATATTTCGTCATTAATTAAATTAGTATGAAATATTATTAAATGATATTTCTTGTATATATTTTAATTTTTCCTACGCAAGTTTTGCATTTCAACTGTCGATAATGTCAATACATCATGTTCAAAAAACTCGCAGCAAAAGTTAAGAAAGATTCAACCACACAGAATCAGATTTCTCGCCAATTTATAATTAAACTATGAATTTTCATATATGTGAACTGTGTTTTCATATATATTAAATTAATCACAAAAGGCACTGTATTTTAAATATTTTCTACCGAATCGTAAGGCAATCTTACAACGATCTCAGCAATGAGAAATCATTAAAAATCGGCCATCGATGTGAGACGACCATCAGTGTAGAAAATTCGCGAAGATTCATACTTGCAAGACGACGAAAGTCGTTGGTTAACCACCCAGGCAAGGGCAGCGTGAGAGAAGCATTAGACGACCGGGTAGTAAGTAAATTTCATCGCGAAAAAGAAAAAAAGCAGAGAAAGGAATCGAGTAACGTCGAACTTCCGGGATAATGGCGTTTCGTTCTGGGAACTTCTCGCGTAACGAGCGAGAAAGAATAGTAAAATTACAGCTGGATCGTGCGGAGGACAGTGAAACGAGCGGAATAAAAATCGGCGCGGAATTTTTAGACGTTATTAATTCCAACGAGTTCACGTCCAACGCCGTGTCTTTGTATTTCGGAAGCTCTGCAGCGGTGAAAGAAGCAGTGCTTCTCTTGTTTGGATAATATCGAGGCTTATGGTGAATTATGAGAAAGGGGGAAAGTTATCTGATGCTTAGCGAGTTACGTGCCTGGTCATGCAATAATTCAAAGTCAGTCCTTAAATCCGTGGTCTAAATAGAACGGAGCATTTTGAAAATTATCGATCTACGATATTGAGATTGTAGAGAAATAATTAGAAATAATTATTTTTGTACACGAGTAGGATTTTTGTGCATTTGTGGTTTGGAGCGAAAATATTTAAAGTACAGTACCTGCTGTGACATTTAACAGACGAATCAAACCTACTTTTTTTTAGTGACGATCATGTACATGAAAATTCACAGTTTAACTATAAAATGGCAAAAAGTCTGATTCTGCGTGGTTGAATCTTTCTTAACTTTGCTGCGAATTTTTTGAACTTGCGTCGGTGAAATTAAAATACAAGAAATACTATTTCATAATAATTTCATTAATGACAAAATACTTGTAGAAACACTTGTATAAATGCTATTTAATAATAATTTAATTATATTTAAATAGCAGTAAATTTAAAATTTATTTAATAGTAAAATTTAATTTTAATAATATGTATAATAGTAATTTAATAGTCTCGATGAAATACCATATTTAATAATTAAAGTACAAGAAACCTTTATTTCTACGTTTTAAAAAAATTACTGAAATTTCCAAAGATGGAAAAATTGCAATTGATTTCACTTTGATTGATTTCTAAGATTAAAATAGATATCAATATAAATATTTAATTTAATTTATTTCTATCTTACGCTGGAGTATATTTTCTTTATCATTCTATCGTTCAACGAAGGGAACTCTGTCCCTCTCTGTCCTAACCTACGAGAAATAAAGTTAGTATCACCACTCGTTAACTCGCCACTTACACAATGCTAAAACATTATTGACTCTGCCTTCGTCGCCGGTACGTTTCTTTCTCCCCAAGAATGAGAAAACTTTGTTTCAAATCGACGGTCGTACGATAAAAATTTAAACGGCTCAACTTTCCCCTCTGTCGATGAAAAGGGAATTCGAAATGGATGATAGAACCTTTCCTCTGTTTTTTGTTTGTTTGTCCTTCCCTCTTCTCCCTTCTTTTGACAATTATTGACTTATATTTGGGGAAACGCGTATTTTTCCTCTTTCTTTCTATCGTTTCTCAATACTGGTACACTGAAATCGATAAATATCAGTATTTGTTTACCAACCTCTTGCGCTGGAATGACGTGCCACGAACGTCGAGAATTTTTTCCGTCCCAAAATTGCAACATTTTCTCAGTTTTAAGTATATTTAAATGTAACCCAGGCGAAACAAATGATATTGTTGTTATTTCTTAATACTTTCTATCCAGTGATATCACGCCGACGAGTTCAAAAGAAAGAGAAAGCGACGAATTGCTGTATACGGTCCGGTCACTCGTTATGGTCCGCAATCAGTGCCAGCGCAAGGTGTTAATCGTGATATTATTATCTAGCGTTTTACACATTTATTTACTATTTAATATTTACACATTAGTAATTGCTATTATTTACTATTTAATATTTACACATTTAGTATTTATGGTATTTCAACCCATCATTTTTCTTCGCACAACATATTGTACCCATTTAACCTCTTGCGCTGGAATGACGTGCCACGCACGTCGAGAATTTTTTCTCCCAAAATTGCAACATTTTCTCAGTGTTAAGTATACTCGAATGTAACCCAGGTAAAACAAATTTACCAAGAAGTCAATTTACAAAGAAATTTGTTATTTCTTAATAATTTCTATCCAGTGATATCGCGCCGACGAGTTCAGAGGAAAGCGAAAGCGACGAATTGCTGTATACGGTTCGGTCACTCGTTATGGTCCGCAATCAGTTTGCCAGCGCAAGAGTTTTATTAAAGCTAGATTAAATGAAATTCCCATGCATGCGCACGATAGCAGACAGACGACGTTTAAATTTCGAATTCTGATACTTTTTGAAAGTGATAAAGATTAATGATCGACGAATGAACTGTTCAGATTGAAGACGAGAAGAATTCTACTTTTAATTCATTTTGTTCGATGCCGGGGACAAACGGAGTCTCGAGGGTGTTCAGCATAGTTCTCTCAGATTTGCTGCAGGCAGTCTGAGACGGAAGATGGCTACCATTGATCACAATTACCACCCCTCGCCACCCCCATCCTAGCTGCGCTTAATTCGAGATCTTTGGACTCTAAAAGAATCCTCTTACGATCTGAATGTTTTTCTTTGAGATGATTAATGTCCCCGAACTTACCAAGCAGATCCTTAAGGGTACCTCAAACCTTTACGATGCGTAGATAATCCTCGAATTTCCCTCTCTCAGACTCAATGAATCAGATAACGAATTCCCGTTGAAATGAAACTGACTTTTTTTTTAGAAAATTCTCATATTCTTTCATTTTCAAACAGAAATCTATAAAATTTTTATTATTATTTATTTATATTATATTATTTTATTATATAATATAATATATATTATAACAAATACTATGTAGTATATAGTATAGTATATAGTATATATAGTACAGTATAATATATAGTATATATAGTACAGTATAGTATATAGTATAGTATTAATAAATATATATTATAACAAATACTATGTAGTATATAGTATATATAGTACAGTATAATACATAGCATATATAGTACAGTATAGTATATAGTATATATAGTATAATACAGTATAGTATATAGTATATATAGTATAATACAGTATAGTATATAGTATATACAGTATAATACATACTATATATATAGCATATATAATACAGTATAGTACAGTATATAGTATATATAGTACAATATAATACATTATATATATAGCACATATAGTACAGTATAGTATATAGTATATATGTAGTATATTATATAGTAGTATATAATACATACTATATATATAATATATATATAGTACAGTACAGTATAGTATATAATATATATAATGCAATATAGTATATAGTATATATGGTACAGTATAGTATATAGTATTTATAGTACAGTATAGTATACAATATATATAGTATATATAGTATATATATGGTACAGTATAGTATATTCACATTCCTCCAAAATTTTCTCATTTCTGAAAATTCACGCCTCTCAAGAAATAAAATATCCCCTCGACACGCGATCTTTTGAAATCACCATCACGGCGCTAACTACCGATCAGAAAATCCGGTTCACTCGGTTTCAACGCGGGAACGGACTTTTTACTTTTAACTAACGTCTAACGTCCCTTCTCTATTTTCTTTTTCTTTTTCCAGTTCCAGCAAGATCGACCGGGCAAATTCTCCTCGGCGAGGTAGACATCGAGGTTCAAAAGGACGACGGCAATGAATTAACGACGGAGGAATCGTTCCCGAAAAAGTGCATCGTCGACGATAACACGTACTCTCACGGCCAAACGGTAAACAAGTTTGTTCATCATCAGTTTCATCATCTTTTTTATCTACCTCTTTCTTTTCTTCTCTTTATCTCTCTCTCTCTCTCTCTCTCTCTCTCGTATTTCTTTCTCTTTTTAATTGATTCTTGCGATTATGAGGTTCGAACAATCCAGGTTGGAACGACGCCAACGATTCTTGTTTCCACACGGTATATACGTGAAACGAAATACCATTTTGATAATGTTTGCCCACGGTGGGATTAATTCACGTGAAATCAAACAGACGTTCCCGTGTTTTCCAGCTGAAAACGTTTGCACGTGTCCGTCCGATAAAGGACTTTGAAAAACGCAGAGGAAATAAAATATTCGCCCGGGGATCCGTCGTATAGAGCAATTTCGACGCACGCGATCGTATCTTCTCGCGTTTGCGAAAACGCTGCATTCGCGTGACAATTTGATTAGAGCGTTTTGACATAGTTGAAACTTCTAGTGTTTTAATGTGGAATTAATTTGGTTTAATTTGGTCTTTCGTTTGGAATTTTTGCTATTTTTTCAACATAGAGTTCTTGTATAATTTTGTGGAAGACCTAGAGAATGATTGTATCTCATAATATTGTTATATGAGATACTGTGTTTTAATATTAAAATAATTAAAAATTAATAAAATGTATAATAATTAAAAATATAAAATAATAATAATTAAATAATAATTAAAAATATAAAATAATAATAATTAAATAATAATTAAAAATATAAAATAACAATAATTAAATAATAATTAAAAATATATAATATATTAATAAAATATTTAAAAGGTATAATTTAACACACAGAAGTTGTATTGATATATTTGTATTAATATAATTAATATAGTCAGTTATAATAATTGTATTAATACAAAAATACTTGAAAATAAATAATACAGAAAAACTTGAGTAAGAGAAAACATCTTAACGAAGTTAAATTATTAAAATTGGTTGAAAAAATACTTTTTATTTTTATTCATTTTCGATTGGTTTCGACATTAGAACACAGACAGGCATACTAATACATTTATCTTAGCTTAGCAATGTAGACAATTTTTACGAAGAATTACAAACTGATGAACTTATGGTACTCTGATGGTACTAGCATTAGAAATTAATATTTTACATTTATATAAACTTACATTTATATAAACATTTATTATATTCCTATTTATGAAGAAATTTATATATAATTTTCACCATTCTAATGACTGTGGTATTAAAAATGATATGTACTTGTTAAACATTATATAAAACTTTCGAAAATTCGAAAAAAAGTATTATAATAATTTTACTAGTGATTTTAACCATTCTAATAATTCCAATAGTTTCATTCAAAGATCGTGCTTACATAATAATTTTGCATTTATGGAAAAATTGAAAAAAAAAAAAAAAGAATTACGAATCGGTATCGTTTCTATAATTCTAGAATTAAAATTTATGCTTATTTTACATTCGTATAAAATATAAACCGTGTCATTGACACGGTTAAAATTAAAAAAAGAAAATTATGAGCTACCATTCTAATAACTACAGCGTCAAAAGTTGCGTTTACATTTTGTTTCCATTATATGTGCATTAAAAGCCCCATTGTATGAACACCTGTTACGTGAACGTTCTATTATATGAACTGTGTATTTTCTAGTACAATATACACATACATATTGCAATAAAAGTGTTTGCATGCATATAAATGTGTTTACGTACTTCTCGTAGCATGAAATCAATTCACAATGATTCAGTTTAAAATTGACATGGTGCGTATAATTTGTATCATAATATTATCCAAAAATTATCGAAAACGCGTAGTATTAACAATTGAAGACAAAATAGTGACACTGTAATATTAAAGAACTTTATTTATATTAATATTTGTAACTTTATTTAATATGAAGAATATTAATTATTAATTAGTAAGTAATAATAATATTAAAGAACTTATTAACTAATTAACTAATTAACACTATAATATAAAAGAACTTTATTTATATTAGTTTTATTTAATAAAAAATATTAATTATTAAGTAATAATAATATTAAAGAACTTATTAACTAATTAACACTATAATACAAAAATAAATATAAAATATAATATGGTATAAAAGAATTTATGAAAGAACTACTTGAACGTAAAGAGTGTGCAACAAAAATGATGTTGCAAAATCATATTTGTGCTTAAGAAAAACGAAAAAGTCTGAAATCAGTCATATTGATGGATTCGATTACTAAATCGTTAATAGCAACTATTGCAGTAACAAAATAATAGAATTGTTTAAAATAATACAATTATTTTATAAAAGAACTACTAGTTAAAATAATAGAATTATTTAAAACAATACAATTATTTATAGAACTTCTACAAAACAACTTATAGTCAAAATAATAGGATTGTTTAAAATAATACAATTATTCTAGAAAAAGACATATAGTTAAAATACTTCTATAAAACTTATAATTAAAATAATAGAATGGTTTAAAATAATACAACTATTTATAAAACTTCAATATTCATATAATTATATACAAAATATACATTACAACATATTTATATAATTACAATTATTAAATACAACTATTGTAAAATATTACAATTATTAAATACAACTATTTATAAAATTGCAATTATTAAATATAGCTATTTATAAAATTACAATTATTAAATACAGCTATTTATAAAATTACAATTATTAAATACAACTATTTATAAAATTGCAATTATTAAATACAACTATTTATAAAATTGCAATTATTAAATACAGCTATTTATAAAATTACAATTATTAAATACAGCTATTTATAAAATTGCAATTATTAAATACGACTATTTATAAAATCACAATTATTAAATACAACTATCTATGAAATTACAATTATTAAATACAACTATTTATAAAATTTCAATATATACATAAATTATTTATAAAATTACAATGACAGTTCCAATAAACAACACACGCAGCTATCATTTCACAAACATACCGCCCAGAGAGGTGGAGGGAGTGGTGACTCTGTTAAAAGCTGAAAATCACGTTGAAACTTGGACCGTATGCACAAAGAATCAATAGACCGTTGTGCGTCGCGTGACATCACAGATTCCAAACAAGTTCGCGTCATTACGTTACGACCTTGTTACCTTACGGAATTTCCAGCGAGCCGTGGTGATCGTCGTGTTCGAAGGAACGGGAAGGCGTGTCACGTTCCAATAATGCTACCGGGATGAGACCGAGGAACACGCGGATAAGATCGAACGTTAATAACGAACGAAGGAAGAGCCGATCTCCTGCGCTTCAAATGAAATACGTGCGACGAAACGATTATAAAGTTCATTGCGATCCCGGTCCCATGGTTGCGGTTTGTACGCCCAAGGGATTGGTGGCCAGGTTCCTCCCCCCTCATACGTTCTATAAAGCTTCAATTTGTGGCCGTATCTTTCGTCGCTGTTACGTGATACCGATACGAAGCACGCACGTTTAACACACATCTCTGTAATTTTTCAGTTTTCACGGATTTTTCACGCCAGTTGTATCGACTTTGGTAATTTTTTTTCTTTTTTTTTTTGGAATTACAACGTCACTTGCATATTTTTTAAAGATTGATGTAAATACATTTTTCTTGGAATGGGGAAGCAATAAAATATTCATTGTTTATTAGGTTAGTCAAAAAGTAACCGCATTTTGTGTGTGTGTGTGTGTGAAATTTGAAAATGAAAATTTTATTCTAATATAATATGTTGACCATTTTGCCATCTTTCAGGCAACTTCATTGATTAGATAGAGTGTTTGAATATTTAAACAGTATTTGAATATTATTTTAAGTATTGTTTCCAGTATGTAAGATATATTCTCTGTTGATTATTATTAAAAAATGCAATTACTTTTTGACCAGTTTATTTAGGATAAACATCTTCTAGAATATTAAAATATGGTGTGGAATCAATTTTAAGTAAAATTATCAGAATTTTCGCTTGAGTTCTAAAACAAAAGTCTAAGAGTTCAGAATTCGGGTTGTTTGCAGTAAAATTAGTTACATACACAAAAAACGTATAGAAACGAAGAACATCTTCTAAGTTTTCTTAAATAATCTTAATTATTCTTAAAATTAAGCTTCGCAAGTTTAATGATGTCAGAACAGTCGACGTAGTATGAAATATGAAGATGACAAGGAGGATAAGCAATAATGTCCATTATAATTAATTTATGCAATATTATATATAATAATATAATATAATATATAATATAATATAATTATTATAATGTAATATAATAATATAATATATAATATAATATAATAATAATATAATAATATAATATATAATATAATATAATAATAATATAATATATAATATTATATAATATAATAATATAATATATGATATGACTTACAATAATCTTACAATAATCTTACAATGATACTTATGACATAATATCTTACAATTAACTTAAATTGCTATATCTTGATATCTTCTATAAAATCACTTTTTGTAAGACTTTCACAAAACTTGATTTTCTCAATTCACAAAACAGTTCGTTCCAACAGAGAGACTGGAGAGTTCTATGAATTCCTCAAGACTCTAACAATCTTCCTTCGACGATGCGCAACTAAAATATTTTACAACATTTGAAAAATATAGATTCGCAAATGTAATGAGACACAATCATATCAAATTCCATCACAATTAAAAAGCGAGCGTCTAAATCGAAACGTACACGCGCAGTGTCTCTTTCGCACGTTCAACAAACGTCCAACGTGGTTTCGTAAACTGTGCCATGATTTTCAATCAGGCTTCAATAACTTCCATCCGCCGCGAAGTTTGCATTCATCGTGCAGCTCGCACAGACACAGGCACACACGTACGAATTCTTAATTGCTCTCTCTTGGAACAGAAACGAGCTCTCTATGTTTCACTCTGAAAGCGTAAATTTCATGAATAAATTCTCGTCGAGCCACGAGATCTCGACGAGATGAATAATATCTGAAGAGCAATAAACAAGTCAACGA